CTGCGAGAAAACGCGAGGAATAAGTTCGTCTCGAAAATAGGCAAGCGTGTGTACGTTTGTCAATGAACGAAGTAACTTTTCCAACAATTTTTGCACATTGAAAATATATATATATTTTTTTGTTTTGCCTGTTCGCATCGGTAACAAACATCCGGCTGTACCTACACCAACATCAAACTCGCTTTTTCTCTTTTTGTCAACGCAAAAAACCTGCGAACGACGATAGGTTTTCGCGTGCACGGTTTTCGTGGTCCCGCCCGGGGCCGTTCGCTGAAATTGCATCTGGAATTTCAATATAGCACGTATCATACTTCAACCTTAAAACGCCGCCAGCGTTGTCCGGTATTACTTTGAGGTTTGAGTTCTATCTTCCTCCCTCTCTCTAGCGAGCTTCCTCTTTCTATTTCTATCTCTATCCCTGTCCCGCACTGAAGCTGACTTTGCGAACCGATTATAGAGATTCCGATTGAGAGAGGATGTACGTAAGTACCACGGGGAGCCACGAAACCCTTGGTCGATCCTTCTGTGGCATAAAATCTAGCCTGCAGGGGGCACTAGGTAGGTTTCCGTCGAATAAATGATCAAAAGGCAACGGGCGAATAAAGCTCTTCCTATTGGTGACGCGGTGTGTTTGCACGCTTCACTGTGTCCCAGTGCGTTCGTTTTCAGAGTGAGAGAGAGAGAAATTCGCTGGCGAACGCTCGACGAGAGTCGCGTGGCTGAATAATTTTTCGCTGCATTGTCGTCGACGACTGTTGAAAAGTCCCCTTTTCCAAGCAACTTCTCTGTATTTTGGTATAATTAAAGAACGTGTGTATTTTAAAGAAATAACGTATCTAGCAGCGACAATACGCTTTTGTTCGAAATGAGCGACGGGGTTGGTATTTTTCTAGAACGTGGTTCGGGGTAAATTGTTCAAAAAAGAAGAAAAGAAGAAGAGAAATTATTCCGGTATTGTTGATTTTACGTGGTCCGTTTTAATCAGTCAGGCATCTCTTCTGCGAATATTACGAGGGGCGTAATGTTAATTTATACATGAGAGAAAGAAAGCTTGTGTAATTTGTGATACATCTTTGTATCGATCTTTCCTCCCTTCTCGTGTATTCTATTTAGAGGTACATATATTTATCTTCGTTCAAATAGGAATGTAAAACGTTGTCGTTAAAGTAATGAAAAGGTACGATGTTATTGTGAATGCCGTTTCAATAATCTACAAAGGAAAATATATCTCCTGGTGATTTCTTCTTTTTTTTGTTTTGTATCTACAATGCCTATCTTTCGTTACATTCTACCGAACGAATGAATATACATATTTCACTTTACAAGCCGATGCTCGCAGCTTCAGCTAAGATATTCCAGAGGGATTGTCGCGAGGTAATTATATCACCTCGATGCCGTAATCTCGCTGTTACCCGTTTATTAATTTGCTTCGTCGAAGCGATGAATGGCGACGGACTGGTTTACCGTTAATCGCGGATTACCCTGCTCTCTCTCTATCCTTCAGTTTTCTTACAATTTTTCAGATCAGCTGAAAGCTGAGAGCAGGTTCAATGCGCTTTCCGTGTAAATGATTAATCAAGACGCGACTAAATCCACAAATTTACGAGAACGTCGGTGAAATCTTAGGAGATTAACGTAATCACGGAGGATGGGTAGAAAGGGAGCCTCGTCGTCGTCGTCGTTACGAGATTCGGTCGTGCAAATAAAAAGGGAAAAACGCGAGAGGGAGGGAAAAGGCGGACGGAAAAACGGATGCAAACGAGGACCGAATCCAATTACAAAATATTATCTGTCACGACTAATTACGAGTGACTGGCATTCGATAATCTGCTTTCTCGTAGCCGGTGCAACGCAGCGCCGTTACGAAACATATTAAACACGATGCAACATTAACGTGATTATCTTAATACCTTGTTAATTAATGCTACGTCGTTTCCTCGATGGATGAGCGTGTTCTTTCCAAGTTTCGAAAATAAAACGCATTCAGGGTGAAAATTAAAAACGGAGTAGCTGTCGTTGCTACGCTTCGTTAAAAGCTAGATCGAGGGAATCTTTGACATCTTTGATACGCGTAGATTAGATAATATTGCAAATATATTTTAAGAGAATTACTAAAATTTCAAAGTTACGTCCAGCTAACGAATATATTACAGAGAAACATATCGAACTCGCATACTCTGACTTCGATGAGATTTTCGTGGAAGGTAGTTCGTGGAAAAATATTTCAAATATTTTTTTTATCATCCATATCGAATGGGAGGAAACAGCCTTCGAAGTTAAGGGTTAGAAACATATTTTTAAAATTAGGAGATAATCTTTTTAATTGTGTCAGATTAATCTCTGGCAACGTAGGATTGCGCGTAAAGAAACTAGAAATGTAAAACGATTGAAGTAATTATCAGTTTGAAGGTTTGAATAGACTCGATCAAATTCTCATTATACCACGATAACTATCCCTCTTGGAACTATAATTCTAACAAGAAAGCGACAATTACGTAAATGAGGGGAACAAGTTTCCTATTCCCTCAAGATGAAGCAATTCTCTGTGGTAAACAGAGCGAAGTTTATCGCCTCGTCGTCATCGAGGAACACACCAGGCACGGTAATTTATTCGAAACTCGAGCGACAATCGAAGTGGGAAACTGATGACTGAGAGAAGGGACGGTTTATTTGGCGAATTAAAGGCAGAAAGGGAAACGATCGTAACGAGGGCGATGCCTCGCTTTTCATGCGCCATCGCGATCCTTATAAGTCCGTAGGAGATGGGAAACAGGATATAGTAGGAAGTTTGTACGACGGAAGTTTCGGGAGTTCGCCTGATTAATCGATAATGGCGAACGAGTGACAGTTACGTTATAAGCTCAAACGAAGTCTTCCAACCTCCTTTGCTGCACGATCGTATCATACGTTCGCCAATGGTTTCCTTCGTTTTATCGTGCGTGTTGTTACACCGAGCTTCAACTCCTTTTCACAGATAAAAGTAGCTACGTTTTCGAAACTGGCGAATGTTATCTGAAACTTCGCGATTTTAACTCCCGCGGACGTTTTGATTCCGAGGGAACCAGCTTCGTAAATTTACTTTTATATCCTTGTTTCGCTAATGGATTACTTCGATCCGTGCGCTTTCACGGGGATTCTATGTAGTTATCGTTTCAATATCTCTCGAGCGAAACACCGGAGTGTAAAAAACATTTTACAAATTCGAGACATAATTTTACTCGATATTTCAAAATTCGCTATTAAATTAGCCGACAGGAACAAATTTCCCAGGACCTCTATTTCACACGGAGAATCAAGAAACAGCCCGTCCAAATTTCCCTCGCAAATGGTTCGCGAAACAATAATAGCCAGGGTCCGTGGAAATCGAAGTAATTTTTGACAAACCGAACGAGCAAACAGCCCGGTGCACCGGTGTAGACATAATCCACACGTTGTGCTTGATTTCAGTGTGCCATTTGCTGCGCAGCGGTGTCGCGGCGATTTTTGGCCCGCAGAGCGCGCACACCGCCTCCCACGTGCAGAGCATTTGCGACACCATGGAAATTCCGCATCTGGAGACACGCTGGGACTACCGGCTCAGAAGACAGAGCTGCCTCGTCAACCTTTATCCGCACCCCACCACCCTCTCCAAGGTACGTACAAACTCGGCGAATAATACCCTCATCAAGGCGTCTGGAAAATCGCGCCCGACGCTCCTCTTTTCCACGTCTAATCGCTTCCTCGACGCTGCACAATCGAAACTTTCTCAGTTCCAATCGAGTCCTGAAGCATGTTAATTGGCATTGTCGCGAATAGATACTCTTCACTCGTTCTTCCAGGTAAATCGACGCGAAAGTAAGCGGAAGAAAACGAGTCCCATCGGATCGATTCGGGTATTGAAGCGGTTCGAAAGATATTTTCAGCCAGGTGATGATACGGTGGAGAAATTAGGTTCACGGGCAGTAAGTTAATCAGTTCGGAATGTGAAGTTGGTCGGAGTTAATTAGGAAGGATAGATCGAGATCTTTCGGAGAAGTTGCTTGAGCTGTTTCAAGAGTCTTTAGAATTCCCGGCTTATAATCACATTTATTAAGTAGATACAGTTCCCGTTAATTTAAGAAGCTTCCTATGAAATTCTCGCGAGAAGGTGTTCGATGTCTTCGCAAAAATTGAACGTCGCGCTCTCGATCGTACGCTGTATCGTTTCATATTTGATCCTTTCGGTACCTTCGATTAAGGATACAAATAAAAAAGCACGATATAATTTCTGTGCAAGGGAGAAAAGGTCCTAAACAGCGGGGAATTTTTCGACGGTAAGCAACAGAAATTGGGTCAGAAGAGATGGAAGACAGAGCAGCTCTTTCGCCGGTCGGTAAAAAAGAGAGTTTCGTGTAGCAGTTATACGTTCAGACAGTCGGACGTCGAGAGGCAGCAGGAAGTTAGGACAAAGACAAAAGAAGAAAAAAGAAGAAGCGAACTTTCCGAATTTCTCTTAATAAACGGAAAGTTGCCTGGCTGAAAGTGGCTGAAAGCGACGCCGCAGCCACGCTCTCGGCTTAACGAGACTTCGTCTAGCGTTGTACGAAATCTTGCAAGCCTGTCGCCTAATATTTGCCGCTCGCGAAATACTCTTGTACAGTGACATTTCCCCCTCGTCGACTCCTCTGCTTCTCTATTAGTATTTGCTCGCTCTGGAGGACGCGTCTTCGTCCCGTCGAGCACTTATTTCCACGAAAATTCCCCTCCAGAACCTCGTTCTTCCGTCGGGTGGATCCCGTGTATTTCGCAGACGGGTCTCGCGTCGAAGCGTCTCGCCTGCCGAAAAGACGTAAGAGGTCGTTAGAGATATTAAGGAAAAGTTTGTACGCGCTGGGTTAGATGGAAAGGTCCCGCGGAAACGAGTTTCGACGTGTACGGCGTCGAGTCTTTGAAAACCGCCGGGTTCACGAGCAAAACGTGACTTTCCACGTTAGCTCGAGACAGCAAAGAAGCTTCGCCGTGTAGTTAACGCAGGCTACGTCGGTATTAGAAAGTTCGAGTTCTAATTGGAATTCGGGGAGATTCCCAGGCTTCTTCCTGGTCTTTCGATCGTGATTGACGTATCACATAAACCACCGTTAGTTTGCACGTTCACGAAGGCGTTTTCTAACCGATCCACGATGCTGCGAATTGCTTTTCTTCGGTTACTCTTCCAATAACTACGCGATTTCGATTCTAGCCGTAAAACACCGCGAAACTTTTATGAATTTTACCGTGAAAGTTGGCTCGTTTATTTTGCCCTCCTACTGAAAAGCTTTTACCTCTCGTTCGAGTCTAAAGACGAGTTCAAACACCGGGGGATTGAAATATCGAAGATGAATCTTAATTAGGATGAGTATCGAAGATTGATGCAATATGATTGTTTGTAAGAATTGGAAGCAGGATCGAAGAGAATAAAGAAAGAAGTCTCTAAACGCGAAGAAAGCACACTTCAGTCTGTCTGATGGCTCGCAACAATGCTATCCGCATTGAGCTTCGAAGCTTAAGACGTTTCTCTACTCTATCTCCGTTAATATACCATGAAAACACTGCCGATTTGTATGCAACGAACGAGTATTGGCGAATTTGTTGACTTCTCTATATTCACGGGGTAGCGTTTTGATCTGCTTTGACCTCTTTATAACCGGCGATATTTCAATTGACCTACAGGGGCATTGTTTTAAGTTCGAAAAGCCAGAGGGTGGTTTTCAGCGTGCAAGTGGAACGCAAACAGAATTAATATGATGGTCCGAATACCCTGGTCGTTTTAATGCAAACGATACCATAGACGTAACATTCTTTCCCTCTTTTTTTTCTTCCCTCTCTCTTCGCCCCTGTTTTCTTTTTTTTTTTTCATTCGTCGTCAACATGTTTTTTCCCCGCCGAATGGAAGCCAAAAATGGTCTCCCGCCCGCCGGGCCGTCGAAATAAATCTCTTGGTGAAACGTGAATCGCCGACGGGGGAAACTGAACATTGACATTGCTTTACCGTGGGCCGGGGTGAAACCGAAACAGGATGTTTTAAATTTGAAACGCGGCTGAAAACAGCGTTCGCCGAACGTAGGTGGGTGAACAGTAACAAGGGCTTTATGTTAACCGTTGCTATACCCAGCTATACCGCAACGCTGAAAATTAACACGACATTTCGATAAAATATATCCAACTCGGCTGGAAAAAAAAATATATTTATTTCCCTTTGCGATACATTTATCGGTACATATATCTCTACGAGTGTAACGTTCCGATTACTTCAGCCGAGAAATTTCATTTTCCCGCCACTTCTCGTACTTTTCCAAAAGTATAACTCTTTTCCACGCCGACAGGTGAAATTAGTTCCTACCTTTCTCTTCGCTAAAAGCATTGTTTCGAAGAAGTCCGCGCAATTTTTCGAGCGGGGCCGTTAAGTCTATATTTTTATCACTTCGCGAACGTAGTTCGTTTGTCGAATCTTCGACGAGTTGGGAAAAGCTGTGCGAGACGCTTGTTTTAAATAATATTCCGGTCGATTACGCTGGGCGCATCTTCGATACGACTCGATTAGAAGTTCGCGAAGTGAAGCTTCTTCGAGGGCAAATTTGATCGTACGGTGAAACTTCGGCGAGCAACTAGCGATCAAACGCTCGATCACAGGGCATGAAAATTAACAATATCAGAATTATTTAATCGTACGGTGAAACTTCAGCGAGCAACTAGCGATCAAACGCTCGATCACAGGGCATGAAAATTGACAATATCAGAATTATTTTACGCTCTATCTGGAAGCAAATTGAACCCACGATAAAAGTACAGGGCATTGTTGAACGGTGAACGAAGAGAGTTTCTTCCGGTGAAGTTTCCCAGTTGCAAATCGTTCGAAGAAGCGGGAGAAAAATTGTCTAATACGACCGTCACCGGTTTTCGATGGAGTAACGTGAACCAATAAATGATGATTTCTGGTTGCGCGGCCAGACTTTGAAGAACGTCGATCAAAGAGAGCGAAGCGGCACCGCGGCACAAAGAGCGCACGAATTACTGCGTCAGAGTAAGAATTTCAATTATAGTCTAAACGCACCGTGCGACGAAATTGAACTCTAGCCATGCGTTAGACATCACCAGCTCCCATATCACGGCAACGACACTGCGAATTCCTCGAATGCCGGTTGTCGAAATGCCTCTAGTTGGCCGCCGTGGTCGATAAAGGTACCCGGTTGCGTTATCTAAAAACGAACATTCTACCGTCACTTAACGTTCGAATCGAAAAAGACGCTATTCTTCCATTTGCACGATCAATTTTTCACCAGCTTCGCAGACTTCGGAAGTAGAATACTCGCAACTGCTGCCTTCCTTTGAGAATGGATCTACTCTATTGTCGGTCGACGACTTCGAAGCGTGTGCATTTCTAAAATTGTCGCGAATTCGCGAATATTCCTCGTTCGGGAATATCCCAGAGAACCGGTGTTTTCGCCGAGAGCTCGATTTAATTAAACATTAACAAGTTCGCGCGTCAGAGGCGGCGTGTTAGTTTTTCATTCGAGTGGAAATATCTCGGCCGGATTGTCGCTGGAAAAAGTTCTCCCGAGGGGAAGGAAACCGACGTGGAAAGAGGATGGGCGAATGTGTAAAGGGGACCGTAGGAAAAATGGAAGAAAACTCGGGAAAATCGTAAGGAGAAATAGAAAAGCTATTCGTACAGGTCTGGTTGGAGAGAGTGTAATAATTGATGATGTCTAAGTGGATCTTAGGGAAGTTGGTCGCGCCGGTGAAAGGTAGAATTCGTTCATTCTTACCGATACGATTATTTTGTTACATCTTCCACCTCTGGGATCGGTCGTACGTACGTCTATTGAAACGGGAAGTCAGATGAAATTTTTGCTCGCAGAGAGAAACTCTGACGAGCAAGCAAGCTGTTCCATCAAACACCTTTCCCAACCTTTTATTATTACATCAAATAGAAATACTGTGCTCGCTCGGAAGCAAACCTTCGTCAAAAACCGAAAAATCTCGACCTCCTCACTTTGACAACACACGCGCTTCGCTCGGCCAATCCAGTAGCAAAGTTTCCCCCCGTCGAAAGTCTCCAAACATAACGTTAACTTGCTGCGCGCGACATAACTTCCCTCCCCCGAAACTGCTTCCTTGGGTATTTATGAAAATCGTGTCTCTGAGAAGCGCGGAACTTCGCGGTTTTCCTAACGCTTGAGAAGGGAACAGCGAACGGCGCATGGTGAACTACCGGATGGAAAAGGAAGTAAACCGAATCAGAGAGTTTATTTGTAGCCGGTCCTTCGCAGATTTTTCGCGTTTTGGTCGACGGTTCGCGAGTTTATCGTTGGTGAAGAGCGAAGTGGCTGACAGGACGTCGAGTCTTTTCAAATCTCCTGGCAAGGTGATTCCTTTGACTGCGGTTTTCTCAGTTGATGTTTTCTTCCGAGCACCACCGTCCGTATTTCCAACGGAAATGCAAAATTCAACGACGGGAGAAGTGGCTCCGTGATTACCCGCGGTAGCGTCGAGATTCTCGTTCGTTCGTGACGACTGGAAGGAAACGTTTCTCCTTCGCGGTGCCCCGGAATCGAAATGATCGAAAGTAACTCCGGTACTCGTGAGGAAAAGAAGACGCTGAAAGCATACCGCGGATTCTAACTTGAATTCGAAA